GCAGCTGTGTCTAAACGTTCTAGGCAGCCACGACGGATGCAATATCATCAACGTCTCTGAAATGTGATCCTTGATTAACTTGAAATAATCGTACCTGCCTACATATATTCGAGCGTACAAGTGTTTATATAACCTACAATATCTATTCGCTCACAGTCAAGGTGGAAGGTTGCCGTTTTTGAGATTTTCTTATATATCAAATATATACGTTATACGTTATATCAAAGCGCATAGCTGGATATAACGTTTGTTGACACTGTCCTCAAAAAGACAACTTCGGTTTTTTCCAATTGAAAAGCAGAATTCTAACGAATAGCGTTTTCGTCTGCTGAACACAAACCTTCGGCTAAGATCTTCTGCATCAGTTTCTTGACACTTTTCTTGAAATCTGTATAAGGGCTTACACAGAGTATACAACCTGATACAAGTGTAAAACATCTTAAACACATTGTTGGGCTTTTCAATGTAGTTACTTCAAGTTATAATTCTCAAGTTATAATTCTTGAATGACAAGGGCCTCTGAGCAATGAACACACAAAATATCAGCATGCACCGATCGCTTTCTCAGAAAGAGCCGAAATCGATGCTGTAATCAGTGGTTACTCCGTAAGTTGCATTGTGACGTGTAGCCTGTGACAAATCACTTTTTCAGTCCTTATTACATCACCCGCTACATCTTCGTGTACACAATTGATTATCTATCGCTAAAAAATGTCGGACTTAGCGTCGTAATTCTCAGATCACGACAACTACATCTTCAAACCGGTTTTTCAGTTCCGCAAAGCATATACCTAGCGATAGGCAGCCTAAGACAGACTGGTTTGATATCAATGCACCCGAGTCTGCGGTCCCTATTGTTTGAGAGGGGCTCGCCCTCCATTCATCGATAGGCCACTGTTTCCCTCTCACGGCCTCGTCTTCCTGTTGTTGCTGTGTTCGCGTTCGGTTCGGTGTCTCATGTTCAGCGCTGCTAGACATATAGGCCGTGTGCTGCTATGGTTTGAAGCTACATGTCACACGTGCGCCCTGTTTAAGGGCACGCAGTCTCTTCGGATGCAGGTGTCTCATCCTGGCCTGACAGGCGTCTTAGAGAGTCACCTTGCTCAAAGTCATAAACTATAGCCAGCTGTCAGCTCTGTTGGGAATCTGGAGACGAAACCAGTCCTCCATCGTATGTTAGGTAAGTATCGATTTCTCAGGCTACGAGCCCAGAGGACGGGACGCTGCGGAGTCACTTGAGCCGAGCGGTACTTACCTATACGTCCACTGTACGTGACCTTGGTCACCGACCCAGGCAACAGGTCCTCTGACAGCCTGTTTCCGGCGACACCGTCATAACTGGACCCGAGACCATCAATTGTTACCTGTGAATGCTGTATCGGCGGATTTTATTCACCGGTCAAATGTTTATCCGCTTATTATTACACTATGGCGTACGCGATTTATCAAGGAAGAAGACCTTTATGAAGCAAAAACATTGGCTCTAAATGACTTTGTTAAACGCTGTGTAGGAAATGAGCCTCCGCTAGTCTAAAAAGCGTTGAAAAACTGTGCGAAGGCCACGAGACAATGTGCTATCTATTTACATATACCATTTTATAGATATACATTTGCTGCTCCATAGACATCATAATTCATATGGACAAAACACAATACAGAGTACAGATAAAACACAAAATACAAAAATGCAAAATGCAAAAAATAAAATACAGAATTAGTGCAGACTAAAAATGCGTGTCATATGTTCAGTAGTTAACTGCTAAGTTTTAGACCACCAGATTTGAATGAACGTTGTTAGTATGTTTACTTCGACAGGACAACTTTAAAAGAATGTAAAAAAATAAGACAATAAAGTCATTGCATGCCGCTTGGATCCTGTATTGAAGCGATTCCTTTCTTTGTGCCATCTACTGTTAACGCCAGACCCCTTGAGACCCTAATTTTTCGCGATTATTTTTTAACGCGTGGAAGAATTTCAACCAAACTCAGGATATGGCCGTTTCAAGACCTGCCGAAACTTTTACAATTTAGATATTTTGTCGCCATTTCAATAAATCAGGCACTTCTAATTGACTCGTAATGTTAAATTTCGAGCAAGATTTTCACCCGGTGTGCAGAGGCTATCACCAGTCAGTCTGTGATACGTTATGACGTCACAGCTAAGCCCCGCCTCTGTGGTCTTGGCCTGCGGCGGTTTCGGGCCGGCGCGCGGTCACTCGCGCTGTGGCGGGGAGCGGGGACGGTCGAGCGGTGCCGAAAGCCGGCGGAGTTGTGCGTAACGTCTTGTCTGACAGTGCCCAAAGAGCGACATGATGACTGAGGAGCCATAAATGCTCAATGCGCATTGCTTGTACAATGCTGATAGGTTCGCTGACGGCTGATATTTGTTTTATTTTTCATAAGCTGCAAATGACGGGCAGATGGCATATACCTCACATAAGGTTAGGAAATATTCACCTGTATTTAAAGCCTATGGCGTTGCAGATAATGTGATAATGGGATGTCGGATGTCATCAAGTAGTTGCTGATTTGTACATCGCTATGCAACCATCGAACAACGCAATAATTAATTAATTGCCTTCGCTTCACATCTTAAGGCTCGCTCGTATTTCAAACATACCTAAGTATCCTACATCGAACATCGTATTTGTTAGGAATCTTTAACGTTTGTTCGAAGCATGTGTGAGTAGTAGGTTGAGGAGTGATGGCCCTCTTGGACCTTGGTCCTATGTATACGAGAGTCAACAAGAACCTAACAATTACTTGACCGTCTGCTGCAATTGATACATAGCACGTGAAGCGTCAGCGAAATTCATAGTCCTTTACAGATGGCAGGGGTGTCGTTTGTACAGAGGTCGCTGATGGGCACGGGTCAATGCCGCAGTCGTGGGCGGAGCCTAATGTCATATGACGTATGAAAGCCTCTATCCAGGATGGAAAAACAGTTAACATTACGAGTCAATGACAAGTGCCACAAATATTTAAGGGACAACAAAACGTATTTGAAGAAAAAGTTTCGGCAGGTCTTGAAACAGCTATTTCCTAAATATGGTTGAAATTCTTCCACGCATTAAAAAATAATCGCGAAAAATTAGGGTCTCAAGGGGTCTGGCGTTAACAGTACATTCTGCATATCCTAAGAAACACGTAACAGCTATTCCAATGAGCCGTTAAATGCAGTGCTCACGATCCCCACAACAGTGTACCATCACCTAGCGTGCCAGAAGCTCCCGTGCCGAGGCAATTGCAGGCAGCCTTGAGCGTCTGCCGCCACGCCATCTCCCTCCCCGTCTGCCATGCAAATATGGATTGCGGCCTACGTGAACCGCACTTTTAATTCCCATGTGGTCAGGTAAAAGGGAAGGACAATAAAGAATATCTTGATTGTCGGAATTCAAAAGGAATTGATTCCTGGCAAACTCGGTAAACAGTTGTGAGCTGGCGGCCACAAGAACGTTAAAGCCGAAAGGTATTATTTGAAATTGTAGGCACAGCACGAAAATGTGAAACCGTATGCTTGCATTTTCTTATTCCATCAAGCACGCAACAGAGAAATAACTTCACAGGCTCATTATCTATATGTTGAAGATTGCTTTAGACAACATGCCGTGCGAACAGAGAAAACCCTAAAGTTTGACCCTCATCGCGAACCAGTAGGTTTCTGCTACCCCGGCCCAGGGCGGGGAGGGAGGGGGTTATTGGGTACTGGGTAGGTATACAACCCCCCTGTCGTCCCGACCCAAATTGCGCTAAGGCATCGCAGAAGAAAAAAAAACAATCGCGAGCAATATAACGAAATACAGTGACTGGCAGAAAAAAAAAACTTTAAGGTCTCAGTGAACCAGTGACCTCTAACATCAGGCAAAAAAAAAACACTACCGGGGCCCAGTTTTTGTTCATAATGCCGCCAAAAATATTCGCAGATATGCGATTTTTGAGCATAGCGTTCGTGATGCTCAGCCACTTCGAACGGAATACTTTTTGCTTGAGAAACGTCAACATAAGTTTTTGTTTAAAATCAAGGCCCGGTCAACGTCGGTCACGTCAAGAAGGTCGTCGGAGAGCTTATGTAGCATATCATTGAACTCAGCAGCTGCCAGCTCACTAATTACCAAATAGGGTGACCAGCAGCGCACACCTAAACCGGTGAAACTTGAAATAATACGTCATCGCCCTTCCTTTTGGCCAATGACCGCTCGCGTGCTTGACTGGACAATAGGTATAGCGTCATTCTGCACCAGGAGTTGCGAAACTGCGTGGAGCGATAAGAAGTGCGTCACTGCTTTGCAAAGGTGATGTAGTAAAAAGATAGTGAGATTCTATCTGTGAGTTACATTTATGTCAAATTATGTGGGTGACGGATGATTGTAAAAGCGCAAATGGTCAAGCTACTCGCACTTGTTCCTTTGATATCGCCCAAGCTTCACACCTTTGTATCATCGCACATCACAATCAGATAAACCCATTTGCACGTCTATGTAGTGTTCATGTCTAGAGACGGTAGGCATCTACTACTCTGAACGTCTAAGCATCTTCGCTTTAAGCTTTCCCTGTGTAGGTACTCGTACTTGACTTCACCTTTTTCATTAAGCCAAATATCTTATGGTGACATTTGACGTCTAGCCAATGATTAAAACTCACCTGAACCCTTATCGCGGCATTGAAAGGTCATCATGGTGATGCCCCAGCGCGCCGCTCTCATAAGTAAACACTCGCAGCGGCTGAAATTATCCTTAACCTCATACTTATGCCTTTTGTTTTTTCTCGTAACGGGTAACGGCGCGCCCGATTAGTTTTGCAGTCGGCTGGAGAAGACCATATTTGGCCGGGGTTCCCGAGATGCTCGCCGGGCGGGCCGCGTTCCCAGGCGGTGTGCTCCTGCTGCCCGCTGACGTCCTCCTGGCCAGCGCCGATGGTTCCCGCGGCGGCCGCTCGGCGGGCCGTTAGCAGGAGGAAAACTGCCCACTGCTGCGCTGGCTGTCCACTGGTGGCCGGCCGCCACCGCGACATGACGCTCACGTGACGTCGCGTGACGGACGACCTGGCCCAGGTGACGGCCGGTGCATAAAGGGCCGCGCCGCCGTCCAGTCGGCAGTGCGGCAGCTGGCTCTGCGCGGTACGGTGCGCGGTGCTCGGGTCGTGTCCAGCGCGATCTTCGCGGCCGGCGAGATGGGACTCCCCTGGTGGCTTCTGCTGGTCTACCTGCGACACTCGGTCAAGGTGGGACCGAGCGCCTTCAACTACAATGAGACGACCCACTGGAAAGATCACTTCCCGATGTGCGGCGGACCGATGCAGTCGCCCGTTTCCCTGACGGCCACCCGCCTGGCGCTTAGCAGAACTCCCACTCTCAAGTTTGCCGATGGACTGGAGGACGGCGAGGTTGAATTTGTCAACACCGGTCGAGAGATCAAGCTGAAGCTGATGCCGAAGAACAGAAAGCTTCCGCTTCTCCATCTCATCTCGTACAGCAAGCCGACGCTCGGAATTTACACGTTCGCTCAGATGCACTTCCACTGGGGGGCCACCCCGGAGGCTCATGGCTCTGAGCACTCCATTGGAGACAAGTACACCGACGCCGAAGCTCACTTTGTCTTCTTCAACACTCGCTACGGCTCGTTCAAGGACGCCGTGCGCCATTTCGACGGTCTGCTGGTGCTGGGCGTGATGCTGGAAGGCTCCGAGAACAAAAACCAGTTCTTCTTCCCGACTCTGGGCATGGAGAAGGGCGTGCAGCATCTGGCGGTGCCGGGAGGCAAGTTCCGTGAAAAGCTGGATCTCAGCCCTGTTCAGGATCTGCTGAAGAGGGCCGTGCGGAGGTTCTACAGCTACCACGGCAGCCTGACCACGCCTCCGTGCAACCCGGTGGTGTCCTGGATGGTGTCGGCCAACCCGATGGCCATTAGCGGCGACTTCCTGCGCGCGCTGCGCGGCCGGGTGTTCGAGGACGACGATGGAAACCAGCTGCTAGTCAACAACCGTCGGCCCGTGCAGCCGACGCACGGCCGTGTCATCACGCAGCACATCAGCATCGGCGTGTAGTCTCGGTCCTGGCGGGCTGAGAGCGGCGCAGAGACGAGGAGATCGCAGCCCCGGGCTGGGAGAGTCGCAGAGTCGGCCGGGCGGGGCCGAGCGCGCCCTGCGGAGTCCACCGGCACCGGTGCTGAGCTGCAGAGGGTTGGCTCGGCCGTACCGCCCGGCTCAAATCCAAGAGGCAAACCTATCGTGCTGGCATGGTTCGTTTGCAGTCGTGTTGTTTCCGATGTGTGGCGGAGTTGATAAGGAGAGGAGGAGGAGGAGTGATGTATCGAGGGTATTTTTGTGGTGCGCATTGCATGTGTCTTCGCTAAGTCAAGTGATATTTAGTGTGACATATTTGTGTTCCAAGGACAATTTAGAGTGTGTTGTTTGATTGCCATGTTTCACTTGTGCGATAGTCATTATCATATCATCTTTTTGAGTGTTCATATCAGAGTTAACTATTGACGTGTTGCAAATACATATCAAAGTTTGCACTTCTATTGTGTAACTCAGAAACGCCGTGCAATTGATGAAACCCTCAGCCGCCTGACACCCCGAGACCACCTTTTGATGCACACGTTCCAGCAGCCTGCTCACTTGGAAGCAGAACAATCTGGGATTCAAGCTAATATGTTCAGGATTGTCCTTGGAACGTCAATGATGCAAGCATGTTACACTAATGGTCACTTGACATATGCTGCTGCTAACAAACGCGTCAAAATTGGTGGGGATTAATATAAAAAGCAATTTATTCAAAAATCCTAGTTTGGCCTTCACCAAATAACAACATCAATAGAGCTTATGAAATCATATAAACATAGTTCTTAAAGTTACATCACAAAGTAAGTTTTATTACGTAAAAGCATGAAGCACTTTCTATTGCCTTGTACATAAATGTGGCGAACACGAGCTACATGTGTTTTATTAATTATCTATTAATATTTTCTTTCCCATTTAATTGTCTGCCTATATGGTAATGAGGACGCAAAAAAGTTATATTGCCTGCACGCAATTACTATGAGTATTTAAGGTAAATATGTCAAAAAAGCTGTCAATTTTTACTAAAATAACAGAGCTGCGGCCTTTCATTTACACAAGCAAACATTTGAGGGGGACCCAATGCGAAAAAAAATAATTATGCATGGTTACATGCATTAGGAATGTATGTGACCTTCCGAACACTTGCGGCAATATGGACAAGTAGAAACATAGCCGGTGCTTTCATCAAGAACATGGTGGGTCTATGGAATCCATTAGTTTTTCTTATCGATTTCAGGTGAAAGCAGCGAAAAATAATTGTAGATACCTAGAACTACAAGCTGAAGAAAGTATGCGTATTGCGTAATGTTAGCTCGGCACATGTGTTTTTATCTTCACTGGTCTGGTGACATAAACTGACCTATGGAAAGAAGAGGATGGAGAGCCATGCCATCCCATATAGGTCAACGATAAAGTCATATTTTAAGCCTGTCCGATGGTTTAAAGTGCACAAATAAATGCGGCGCGAAACAAGCAAAGGGAATGAATAGAAAGTCAGGTAGAATCGAGAAAAAGATGACATTCAGCTGGCCAGTGCTCAGTTCAAGGTGCTAGGGTTTCACGTGCACTTTTTAATAAAAGCGCAAGAAGCTTTAAGACACACTTAGAAATCTGACTATGGTATGTGTTTTTGTCAATCGTTGCATTGAAAAAAAAACAAGGGAGTTTTGGTTTAGTACAAATCATTGAACTAGTGGTTGCAGGTTTACGCATGGTCATGATTGAATACGAGTATACGCAGGAATAGCTTTTGGCTCTTGATGCTAGTTGGTTACATTATTAGTGTTTCACTCAAGCTGATCTTTGTTTCTTAGCACTTGTGCGAAGAACATGTATTGACCAATAGACTTTGCAACCATCTGATCTTACGTAAGAGTGCATTGATTTAGGGCCATGACACATGGTAATCGATTTTTCGAGTTATCATATTTTTCTGATTGAAACTTGGGTTGAAAACAAAATCCATGTGGCCCCGAGTGTCGAGCGGGGAAGGACTGGCACAGCCGCGGCTCCGATGACTTTGGTCCGAAGCTTATCGTATAGTTTCCTGTCCGACTGTTGCTAATTGCCTCGATGGGCTCAGATGCGCCCGGTAAATTGTAGGAACAATTAGAGAGCGTATCCGTTAGAGGTTAGGGGAAGGCGTAAGTTTCCTAAGTTCAGTGAAAAATTAACAGTTGCCCTTACACCAATGCTAATCAGGATATCCTTTATCACCAAGTGAAGCCCAGCTTATATGATGACATCGTCAAATAATCTGTGTAGTTAGTTGTTAGATTTCGTGGTGCTGATAAGTCGTGTGCTCATTAGCGCGTATAACGTTTCGGCATTCCCCATTGACTGTTGGTGCATACAAGACAATGCACTATAGATACATAATTGAAAGATTGTGGAAATGAATATGCATTGCGCTTCCATGGACTGATTTACCACAATTTTCATGAACCGCACCGTGCTGATTGTGCTAAAAAAGTATCAATATGGTTAGAAATATCGAAGTGCAAGTTGGATATTCACTGATGCATACCTACGTTTAGCTGCCTAACTTTTAAATAAGACGAGCCTTAGACGTTGAAACCCGTCGTTATAAAATGTAGGCTAACTAGTGTTTCTAGTTTCATCACCGGAAGCAACACATAATTCAATTAAAGGAGAAACACACATATTTCACCAACACACTATTACGCTTACCTCACTGCATTTCCAGTAATAATAATGACAACCTGTATTGATGATGCAGTTGAATTCAGTATTCACGCCGCTAGCTACAATCATTTGTTATGGGTCTCTGAATCGATTTGATCATCACTTCATTTTCAGCCGAGATTTAACTCGTAAGGACAATCTGTGTGGTTCTCCTAAGGAGCTGTTCATGGTGTGTAGTTGCCAGTTGGGCAGTTGGCGTTTTGAAAAGTTACCGTGGGAAAACACAAATCAATTGTCACGGGATCATTCGTAATCACCATTCCCGCATGTATTGTGTACTTGTGCTGGGAGTCAGGACAGTAGACAATTCTTTTGTTTGCTAGCCGAATTTTCATTCTAAAGACACGCTATGGCGAGTTCTGACAACATCCACATATGAACAAGGCAAATTCAGGTGGGTAATGACAAGGACGATGCTGGATTTCCAGATCTATGCTCATTATACAGTTGACCGTCAGCATGACCTCTTTGATGCTCATTGCAATTACTGAACTTAAGGAATTGATGAAAAGAAGGGAAAATCTAGCTAGATAACTAAATTCCAGTCGATGAGGTTGAGGATATAGAACGAGAAACTAACGATGGATTTGAGCGAGGCTGACATGGCTGGTTTCTCAGACACAATTATGTAAGCTTACTGAATGATCAGTGTATAAGCGGTGATTAATGCAAGTTCAGTTGCATTTACCTCCGGTGAATATTGGAAATAGCGATGGGTAACCCTTGTGCACTGCATAACTACTTTTCCGGATGTATAGGAACATCTGGATGCTTAGACACCTGACGGGGAAGAGACTCCCGACGGGGATGGTCTGTGATTGGTTGGATCAGCAGCAGTCAGTTTAAGTCAGTTGAGTGGGACAGGCCGTCTCCGGGTTGGATGGGCAGTAAACTTTGGCAGCCAAAGCCTCCCGTTACCACATGCATTACACGATTGAGCCCTGAGGGATAGGTACTGCTCCTATTTGCGCTATCCGCACCGGTTATTAGGTAATTAAGCGGCAGGGTTGACTGGCGGGCACACAGCAGTGATCAAGGATAGGGCTGAATAAGTCTTGATGATTTATGTCTGAATTTTATTTGCATGAAAAGGTGACTGGCCAGTGGCCACGTACATTTTTACATAACTTTGTTTATCACTGATGCTAGTTGTATGCCGTCTTGAGTTGAGATGCTAGTTTCACTAGTTAGTTTTTCATTAGTTAGTTAGTGAAACCAACATCTGAACTCAAGGCGGGGACCAAAGTCCGACAACAGTGATACTAACACCTCGTCTCAAGCACTCCGAGGAATTATAACTTTGTTTATCTTATACCTACTTCGAAACTGCTCGAGAGCAACATCACAGCCTCACTCATGCAGTCCAGTAATATGCCTCACTCGCACCGTATACATTTGCGGTCTTACTGAGTTCAGCTCGGACCTGCTTGAGGCAGGCTCACAACGTGAGTAGGATAACTCGGTCGGTCTCTGTACAGATGATAGATAGGAATAGTTGAAAACGATAAAAATGTACTTTTACACGATAGTCTGACGCCGAAACGCAGCCGAAATAGTCGATTATAACAGCACAGCCCTTTCGATAGCAGCCCATAATGCCACCTTGCTCACCCATTCACTTCCTTGTCGCACTATTGTTGAATAGATTTGCGTTGGTTTTTGCCGAAATCGCAAAAGTATGGCCTAACCAGAACGGCTGGGCGGAGACGTCACCGCTGTCGGATCAGTGAAAAGCACGCAGACAAAGGACTCCTTCAAGGAAACTGCGGTCATTTTCCTGTCTATATGTGCTTACTTTTTAGGTTCTTCCCGCCTGCCGATCGAATGTTTGGCTTTGCGAGGTTCATTTGCAGTGCACTAGTCTGGACGCATATTGTGAAGGGAATATATGAGTTTCGGTTTCCATGACTGTTGATTGTGTTCCAACCTGTCCTGTATGTGTTAGGATTCGTCTGGTAGTGTATAAGAGTTGTGTTGAGTCGGTTGCGCCGCCGCCGCCGCCGGGAACAGTTGCTGGATCGGCTGCATGTAGTTGCTAAAGTCATGCTACCATGTCACATGAAGACATTTTAACTAAGTAAGAAATGCATTAGCTGCACCCTTTTCACGATTGCCTGCAAATCGCCAGCAGCTCACGAGGGTGTGAGGATGGAGCATCCAGGTCTTCAAATCTGTCATCACCGTATCAAATATAAGCGAGAGAAGTTTTCATTACCCAGGTTTTGGACCAAGGCATTGCAACATTTAGCACGCTTGAACATCCTTATATAACTGGGTTGAGTCAATCATCATACAAAAGTAATCAACATTCCCAATCGCCATTCGACTCTTGCTTTCAACTCCCCTCAATGTGCTTTTATTTTCTCGAACGTAATTTTCCGTCATACGCGATGCGCACAGCCTGGGCCCTGGCGAATGTGACAGATGAACGCAACCTTAGTTGAAGATGTCTCACTAAAGGTGAACGCTAGGAGTCGGTAGTCCGTTTTGGACGGCGCTAGCTGGTGCGTCGCAGGCGCGAAGAACATCAAGCAGGAAGGAAATAGGACCATGGGAGCTAAACTATCGACCGTTTACTGCCGACGGCGGGCATCAACTGCTCGAGCCTTGGCTTGCTTTATTACGCTTTTCCTTTGACAGCGTGTGGCTTTCCGCATGGCGATCATGGCTGGGACAGAAGGCAGAGCTGGTGTAATTATGCAGAGAGCTGCAAGACGCTTGGCCAATTTCTTTCCAAGAAGGTCTAGAAAATAAAGCTATGAGTTGATTGAGAAAAAAAACATTTGACTCCGCTATGATCGAGCAAATACTGACCACGTTAAACGACAAAATGTGGACCATTCTGCCTAAGCAAGTATCTTTTCCCATGGAGTGCGGCACTGGTAGTGTATTGCGTTTAACTTATAATAACCGTTTTCACGACGGCCATCTGCAGGGCATATTTTAACAAATTTTACTGCGTCCCAAAGTTGAGCAGAGGGCACGTGCTACGACTAAGGGCACAGGGCAAGGAA